CGAAAGCCTCCAAAGCCATGGGTCCCGACGGAATATGCATGCTGATGCTGAAAAATTTGGGTCCTGCGGGGGTAGCGTACCTAACGGAGGTCCTCAACCTGTCAATGGCCACTCTCATCATCCCAGACATCTGGAAGGTGGGGAGAGTGGTCCCACTGCTCAAACCGGGGAAACCTGCAAACAAAGGAGATTCGTATCGTCCGATTACACTCCTTTCCCCGGTAGCGAAGACACTCGAGGCCTTGCTACTCCCGTACTTCACAAACCACCTGACCCCAGCGAAGCATCAGCATGGTTTCCGTAAAGTGCACAGTACAACAACAGCACTTAACGCCATAAACACTCAGATAACTCGTGGCCTTAACCGTAACCGTCCCTGTGAGAGAACGATTCTAGTAGCGTTGGACTTGTCAAAGGCGTTTGACACCGTCTGCCATTCCACGCTACTAGAAGATATAGAGGCCTCCTCTCTCCCACAGAGGCTCAAACGGTGGTCGGCAAATTATCTGAGTGGTCGACATTCGTCGGTAATGTTTAGAGACAAAACGAGTAAGCAGCGAAAAATAAAACAGGGGGTTCCTCAGGGTGGTGTCCTTTCCCCGCTACTGTTTAACTTTTAGATTCCCTCAACCACCAGAGGGAGTCTCGATTGTCTCCTATGCCGACGATTGCTCGATCATGGCGACTGGGAATGGAATTGATGACCTGTGTTCGAAAGTAAACGGCTATCTCTCCGAACTTTCTCGCTTCTTCACTGCAAAGTGTCTAGCCCTCTCCCCTACGAAATCCTCCGCGACCCTGTTCACAACCTGGACGAAGGACGTCAGCCTACCGCTGGGGATTCACGTCGATGACACACCAATTTCGACGGTGAATAACCCCAAAATACTCGGAGTAACATTCGACAGCCTGCTCTCCTTCTCTGCGCACTCAACCGCTATTGTCAATAAAGTACAGAGCCGCAACAAGGTCCTCAAGTCGCTAGCCGGCAGTACTTGGGGCAAAGACAAAGAAACGTTGCTGGCAACCTACAAGGCAATAGGCCGGCCGGTTTTGAACTACGCAGCGCCAGTGTGGTCGCCCGGGACTAGTAGGACGCAGTGGACGAAGGCCTGAACACCACCTGCACGGCGAGGCGCAAATGCTCCCTGTTAGGGAGCATAATATAATGCTCTGCAAGCAGTTCCTGATCGGGAGCCACAGAAGTGGCCACCCAAGCAGACAGCTGCTGCAGAGGAGCCCTCGCCTAGGCACGTCAGGAGGCATCTATATGAACTGACGGACGAAGTCCAGAGGTTCATTAAGCAACCTCTGGACCCGACAGCTTACAGACAGGCCCTGAACGGCATTCACAGGGACTCAGTCTCGAGTTATGTAGACTCTAGACCTGTGAATGCCGTTCTAGGCATACCACCCCCGGACATAGACGAGACGGAGCTTCATCTGCCTCGGGAGACACGCACAACACTCGCTCAACTTCGCTCCGGCTACTGCAGCAGGTTGAATTCCTACTTGAGTAGGTTGAATGAGGATGTGCCGAATGAGTGTCCGGCATGCGGAGAGACCCCACACGACTCGAAACATCTCTTCGCATGCCCGGAAAACCCGACAACCCTAACGGCCTTGTCCCTGTGGACAAACCCCACAGAACCTGCACGCTTCCTAGGGTTGCCGTTAGTGGAACTTGACGACAACGACTGAGATACCAACCGATCTGGGCGGGGTTGTTGTAGCCGCTACAACAACAACAACAACATACTCAAGTGCGGCTTAAATTTTTGCTACGTTTGTCGTGAATACTGCAATTATTAATTTTTGCTTCCGTAAAATTTAAATAAATTGTTGTCATTTTTTGTTTGTGTCTGTTCTGCTACGTCGCCTACTGCTGCCTCGTCGCTGAAACGTCGGTCCAGCAAAGGTTCTCCACCGAATAAAACTGTTAAGCTTGACGAAAGTATTACTCTTATGGCTGTTTGTCACAAAATTAAAGAGCTAGAGAAGAGAGTTCATCAGCAGACAGAACAGTTGTGCCCGCTTATCGAGAGTGTCTCAACCAAACTAACTGAGGTTGAAAGCAAGCTGTCGAAACGTATTGATGAGGAGATATTGTTGCTAACAACCACACTAAAGGAGACATCTACACGCATTGATGTGTTACCGCAGAACTCCACAGGCAAACACTGATGGCCTACCAACTGTCATTTTGACGACCAATATTATTGCAAATTTTTGTGCGTGGGCACTTTGATGTCTTGAAATAAGCATTTGCCGCATGACGCCACCAGACAACATTCTCTCAATTTCGGTGTTTAAAAACATTTAAATTTTAAAAAAACTTGCTGCATGATTTCCTAAAACGTAATCATAAATAATCCAATAGGGAACAGATTTTTATTTTGATTTAATATCAAAATTTCATCGATGTTACAACCAGCACGCTTTCTTTCAAATGAAAATATGGCTGTCAAACTATCGAATTGCCTGCAATAGATGTCAAGCAATAAGCGCTGACATATATTGCAGCCCATGAGAAATAGGCGGTGTCCATTGGAAATATATTTTGTGACATGGTTATCACAACATCACTGTTTTCCTGTGGAGACAGGGCCTTAGAGGAGCGTGTGCAGAAAGCTGTGGCTGAAATTGCGTGCATATCTGCGTTAGGTTGCAAACAGAGTGGAAGCGAAGCCGAAGATGAAGACGAAGCCAAAGACGAATTGCTTGCTTTGCGGGCAAGCTGGCGAGTGTACATAGTGGAAGACGATTGCGATGCAATGACAACTAAAATGGATTCGTTTTCGGATGAGGAATTTTTTCTAAATGAAAACCTTTTTCTAAAGATAAAATTAAATGAAAATAAAGAAAAAACAGGAATTCACGAAATAAATTTGTCCAGAAAAACGTTTGGAGAATTTCACCATTTGTATGATGAGTTACGGCAAGACGGACGGAGATTTTTTGATTATACGAGAATGTCAATTAATACTTTTGACTACATTTTATCAAAAATTGAGCCATTTCTTGAAAAACAATGGATCAATTTCAATACAACCCCCATCAT